CAAAGAGCGTATGCTTCAAGTTAGAGATCTAATCAAAGACAAGCCCTACGACACAGCGAAGCACTTTGCCTGGTGGACAGAATTTGTGATTCGTCACAAGGGTGCAGCCCACCTTAGGACCACCTTAGGGACACAACCTTGGTATCAGAGACTTGATATGGACGTTATAGTGTTTCTAACGTTAGTAACGTTTATAATATTATCCATCATCACCAATATACTTACGAAACTTATCATCACCTTCTACAAACAACGTAAAGGAATTTTATACGGAAAACAAAAAATAAATTAGTCGATGGATAATATATAAACATATGCTTTAGTAGAATTATTAATTGTTAGTAGTTCAGCAGTTGTAAAGAATTTTCATATAGAGTCTGTCAATCGTGTCCGAATATGTGCTAAAAAATACTAAGTAAAATGTCGGTCGACTAATAAAATGAAATTAGACCACCTAAAATACTAAAGGTTCGAAGGGGACTTCTGTAGAAATATAATATCCTAGTCAGAGAAATTCGTATCCCACAAACACAAATTAAGTCGATTCTGAATCCCGGAACATGAATGTGTAAACTAATTCAACTTTATATCAATTCCTATATGGTCCGATTAATTAGTTTCTTAATTCTTGACTTTACTTTTGTGTCCGTTTTCACTGAGAAAAATGTATCGGTTAATTTATTTGCCTTCTTTTTACAGCCAGCTATACGGTCGGTTACAGTAGGAATAAGTACATACAACGTACCGGTTCGTTTATGGCTAATTCAATATCTAAATTGTAGTATAATATTTTGGTAAATACGTAAAACTCGCAGTTGTTGTGTCTAACTGAAACTTTTCGAGATTCGCGAATGTTTATTCAGGTGCAATTCGAGTATTTGTGTTAGATTTGTGCGCTGAACGGGGGAGAAAATGATGGACTTTTTGACAAACGTTTAATTTTCTTTACAACTATTCGCATATTGGGAAAAGTTCAAAGGAATAATTTAGTTGACTCATTTTGATGTGAATGCTTTTTAGATTTTAACTTGTAATCAATTTCATCTTAAAAATTCAGAAATGAGTCGTCTATGATGTTGACGGAAACCTTATTTTGCGAATAAAACACACCTTGGAGTCTGAATATAGAGTATGTATGTCTTAATCGCACTGAATTCGCAAGTCACGCAACGTTCAATGTTTATGGCTATATTATGTCACTAGCCTGCGATAGGAACTAGTACGTGCGGAGCTAAGACCTCTATTTAGAGTACTGACCATGTATACCGATATTCTCAAATGTCGTTATCTAATGTCAACCGTTTAACAAATTGTTCAGCATAGTTCATGAACGTGAATTTATTAAGGACACGGACGTGTCAAAGTGACAAAATGTGTTCAGAAACGAAATGCTTTAATTTTTGCGATGATATGAGAATGAAGATTGAAAAGAATAAATAATAGATTGCAGTTGTTATAATTCATTTAGTTTGACTTGCAAGTCAAATGTGTGCTAGAGTATAGATGTAATAATGCGTATTAACAAGAATTATGTCGACGAAGGAGTCACTTTCACTACTCTTTATATATCTCGTTGACTTCTTTGAGCCGAGCTAATATTATAAGAAGAAACTGTAGGTTCAATTTAACTTTTAACGATTCCGTTAAGTTTCGCAATCTAATAACAATATAATATCAACATGTTTCAAACTATTTGAAGCTTTTACTCCTGTCGATGCACAAGTTCTACAATTTGCGTCTTTTACTTTCAAGCTTCTTCATCTAGAAAAATTTGGAAGATGTTGATTCGCTCGGCGTGTTCCTCGAAATTCAATTATCCAGAATTACTTCATCGTTTTATTGCAACAAATAATACCTGGAAATGTTCGGGTGCCCAGCCGGGTTGCGATTGAACGGAATCAAAACTTGTTTTCATCACGGCGTGCCGCGCTGTAGGAGATTATCAGAAAACGATAGAACCCGAGATTTTCTTTTCTCCGAGTGCTTTCTGTTCGCGAAGCTGACGCCACGAGAAGCTTCTTTGTTTCTCCGCTTGATAGCGCGCCATCTACTTCGCCCCCTGATCCTCAACCCCAACAGTTTCCAAGCTGCTTTCGATCCTGCAAAGGCAAACGCCTCTGAGAATCACGATGCAATGGGACGATAGTGGCGCGAAGCTGTTTGTCAAGAACGCGTCGTAATCGACTCGAGTAACAGGACGATACAAAAGCCAAGGGAGAAAGGGGAGAAGAAGAAGGCGCCCTGAGAAAGGGAAGATACAATCTGAACCGCCATTGTTTCATATGATTTGCCGGCAGTTATTGTTTCGTACGTCGTCGCCTCGAACTTTTACAATTACACCGACCGACGTCTCCAGGATTTTCCACTCTTTCTCTCATCCTATCGCGTTCCTCGGCTCTATAGTGCACTTTGCCGACCGTTTTATGCCATCGCGAAAAGCTGCCTTTCCGTACGAACGCCGTCGCTTCGCGTCAATTCAATGGTCTATAATTGCGGACACGTGGAACGGTGAAAGGACAATGATCCTTGTGTCTTCGGTGGAAATGGTATACGCATATACTGTCCCTGGCAATAAGTATTGGACGCAATGGGACGAAATTGATAAGAAATACCAAGTTTTTTTAATTGTGAAATAATACGATACGAATATAAAACTCGTAATAATGTTAATATTTTATCTACCGCAAGCCTATTAATCAGCTTTTCGATTTCGAATGTTAACAATCGATAAATTATTAAAATTACGCTCATTTAAAACAAATGAAATTAGAACGAAATTAAAAGTTTCTCTTATACCTTGATTTTTAAATTATAAAGCTTTGCAAATGAAAATATACAATCCTACGTGATGACGAAAATCATATTGGTAGTTAGAGAGTGATTGCCTTGATCAGTAACCGTAGATAAAGTGTTAAATTGTTCTAATTTGAAGTAAAAACTCAAAATGTAATAAAAATTTATTTTATTTATATATTGTTTGCTGCTTTAAAAAAGTATTCAAGGGTTCGAAGTTCTGAGAAAACGTATTCGGGCGACTGATGTTCTGAAAATAAATATTTAATTTTATAAATTTTGTAAAAAGAAAAATTTTGTAAAACATCCAAAGCATAGGGTTTGCTATAACAGAACTATTTTTTATTGTAATTACGTTTCTCTTAATGTGTACCTAAAATTTTGAATTCTCATAAAGCTCAGTTTAGTTATATATTTGATTATAACACGATAAATGAACAATCCAATTAATGTGAAGGCTTCGGCGATTATAGTGTTATCAAATTTTATCAAGCCGACTGTTTGTCTTCTTACGATCTCGCTTGTTTGGTTAACAATGCAACACACCACATATGTATGCCATTAACACTACGTTTACGAACTTTATTGCAGTTTATTCTATTTGTCTTACAAAAATTGATGTTCATTCATTTAGATTTTGAAAATTGAAAGTTTAAAGATAGACAATTAAAATACACGTTCGCGTTATTGCAATCAATCAAAATTGTCGTAAACATTCACTAAATAATGTTTATGAAATTCAATGCGTGTCAGATTGACGCGTTCCATAAACCTAGTGTTAAGTATGAAAATTTAGATTAAGATAGATAAAATAATTGTTCAACCTAACGTGAATAGGTTTGTTTCGCGCATGAATACAAACGCGATAAATTACATAAGTCCATAAATCAACAAAAAGGATTTGTCCAAAGACTTCCACGTTACCATCAACGCGTCGAGCATATCACGTGTTCACGAGACACGAGAATACGTAACGAAACAAAACAAAAGTTCCAGCAAAAACAACCGCACCATTTCCGGCGATCGCGCAGAATCTTTATTTATTCACCCGGACCGTTACTGCAGCTTGAAAATTTCAAATCCTTCCGTTAAGCACATTCCGTATCACGAATTTTTGAAGCGTATGAAATAAGTAGATATCTATTTTTCACAGGCGGAAACGTCATGTTTCGCATTCGCGGAACCCTTCGTATCGTTTTTAATTCAGCGAAGTCCTTAATGGACAGAAAAGGAAAGGCAGGAAGACGAAATGAGTGAATCCGCTTTCTGTAAAATTATCCACGAAAATATGAATTTACGCAAACGACCACGGTTTAAATATCAAACGCAAATAAACGATCCCGCTCCGCGAACGTTCCAGCCGGGATTAACCAGTGTACGCGGGAATATTCAACGCGACAATCTCTTTTTCATCTCGGCGCCTACCGACGGCGCACTTTCTTTCCCGTAATTCCTCTTTATTTTCGTTCCTCGCCTGTCCCTGCGCCGTGGCGTCGCCCAAAGCGTTTAGTTGCTACCCTTCCTCGCCCGAGCCGGTAATAAAATTAGCTGTATATAGCAGCACTCCTCCCGGAGCCGGTGTCCCCCGAATTTACTCAGCTCTCTGAATGGCGGATAGCAAATCCCTCGCATGGGATTCCGAAGCACGGATTTCCGGGACACATGCATATATTACACACGCATAATATTTACACTGGGAGGGGTAAGGATTCTTGAGGATCTCGAGCTACCCTTACGTTGATACGGATTATTCTTATCCCGGTGAACTTTGTAGAATCGCGACCAATTACATTGTTTCAAGGAACCTGTCTGTTCAAATACAGCATTGAATTAGAAGAATGTAACCGTGAAGCTATAGTGGAATTCAGAGTTACGTATCAGTGCGAAAAATTTAATAATATAGTTAAATGGCAACAGAATTCGTCAAATATTTTTATTTAAATTTAAGATAGTGAATATGAAATTCCATTTTCGTTCTGTTTATTGGTAAAAAATAGAAAATACTTTCATTTCCACTTGCTTGGAAATATTTTTATTTTCATTTACAATACTTTAAAAGTCGATTAAGTACTCCCAATTATAATTATCGTTAATGTTAACTTAGTTAAAAATAAATAAGATATTTAAATGATTTATTTCAGCTTTGTAATTACTGACTATTAATTCTTTAGTGTAATAATTAATTTACTCTAAAACTCATGTAAATTTAATCGCGGATTACTCTGTTGGTCATAATACCCATTCTATGAGAACAAAAATCGTTTGTGAATTGTGAGATGAATTTAAATAAGATGAGACGATGAAATAACTGAAAAATTCTATCCAAGAAACGCGTCCAAGTTCCGCAAGTAGAAGAAAGTTTAATAATAATGATAAGATAACGATAAAATATAGTTTATTCGATTAAAGCGTTTTCAGCTTTATTAAGAGGAAAGCTTCCTTATTTCAATTTTATAATCCATATATACACTTTTTATATTTGCAACTAAAATGCAATTGGGTTAACATTTAGTACAGTAACATACACCATGGATAGAAGATGAGACAAAAGTTTAAATTCGACAAGATGATAATAACCGCTTAAATTGGTACATAAATACCTCGAAGATGCCAGACGATTCTCGATGCTGTAGGCGACTGGACTAACTATTAATTCAGTTGAATTTAGTTTCAAAAATCTCTCGTTGTGCGCGCTATAAAGTCAAGCAATGAAGTATATACTCGTCAAATGTAGTGCAAATGTACGTATAATATATTCTGACAAAAAACTAAAGCAAAACGAAAAATGACATGTGTATCAGAAAAAATAACTAATTCAACATTGGAAGTATCATTTCGAGTTTCCAGATGACGCGTATTCTCGTCAATCACAGTTAACTGGTTATTGTATGTTAAACACAGTATGCATTTCGCGCACCCTCGAGTAATAATAAATAAATGTTATTTATTTCATTAACATATTATGCTGAAAGTAGAAGTTTCATTCCTTTTGCGTATAATCAAAAGTATCTCTATTTTCAATTAAAGATCCCGATAATACTATATATCGAATAATAAATAATCAAGTCGACTGTAACTGGTTTCAGTTGAAATGAGCAAAATGGTTTGCACATAATGTGTTAATATAAAAAATATATGTATTTGGGAAGCCAAATCCGTTAGGAGCGACCGACGGTTGAACAGTCGTAACAACAGTTCGTGTTGTTGTTTAATAGGTCGCTCGCCCTTTCATCGGTAGGAACGTTGTGGCGACTCTATGTCTGTGCAAGGCGACAGGTGAGCGACCTCAAGAGAAAGTGTAAGAAGAGAGAGAGGGCGGGGGGGAAGCACCAGTGATTGACTCATTAGGACAAATTTTTTGTATGAATGATACAATAGTAAACGCCTGCTCCTTTATGAAATAGAACTCGGAAAAGAGCGTCCTCGCGACGAAATATAGTCCAACGTTTAATATTAACGCTACATACTTTAAGTGCTTTACTTGAAATGTATTTCGAAAGACAATTAGTTAAAAGCAAACAGCGTAAACAATTCTTTTTATCAATACTATTAAAGATAGTATAACAATGTAATACAATTAAAAAATGTCTCGACAGGGAAGGATACTTTCGAATAAATCTATTGGCGAGTCATATTCGACATAAGAGCGCAAAGGGTTAAGACCCTAACGCGCGGACACTAACGCAAGTGTATTTCTCCCACTTCAGGAACGTGGCTTTGCCTAAAGCACGCTTTAATCGAACAGACTGTAGCCCGAAATAAAGATCACCCCCGTAATCACAAGGAAAGTGTTAGAATGTAACAAAACCGTGTGCAATTTAATGCCATTGTACGACCACCGCTGATACATGATAATCCATCAAACGTACAGTTCATCAAGCTAAAAGTGTACAGGGGCAAAGGGAATAGACCGCGCGCCCCACCTCGACCTTCTAGAAAACAGCAGCCTAGTCCCCGTGTTTGGGAATGAGTGGTTCTGTTCACCCCTGAGACAGCTTGGTGGCAGCACCTCTCATGCACTTGCTCGTCTCACCCCAGCCTTGCCAGATCCATGTACAGATAATCAATTTTCTTCAAATGGATAGAGATGATCGATGCGCACATCGATAGCATTCTAGATCCATCGATACCTCGTGCCAGAAAATCCTTCGGCCATTGCTCATCAGTCATTGTTTCAACGTTTCAAGTTAAACACGTAGTTACAGACTCTTATTCAACCTTTTTTCCTCTGCTCATGTCATTGCTTATTCTGTATTTCATCCAATTCAGTGATTAAACTAATGTGTATTTTACCTCTTAATTGTTTAATTTCATAAAACTCAATTGAAATCGTTCGCAAAAGTGTACGTTGTTTTTCGCGGTGTCACCATTCTTACGGAAGCTCAATTATATCTTAAATTAACTCGCATTGAAACACCCTGGGATTCGGTAGATATAGAAAGCCACCACCGCCGCGTTGAAATGAAATCCGACGCCAATGTTCATACCGTGCGTTGTTTGAAAGACAGCCAATATAAGGAATGTGGGTCGAATTTGTCGGAACCGAAGGAATCCTGCCCATTGTCTCACGCATTTTCGGCTCTAGTATGCGATCGGTCGAAACGATCATGCACACTAAGTTCGCCACGTCACGCAGTTGTCTTTCAAACAACGCACGGTACATCTCACTTCATCGCATTCCGTTTTTCTTGTGTTCTCTATTACGTGACTCGGCCAATGACAAGAACGTGCCGAAACTGAGGCATTACTGTTGCTATAACTACCGAGCCGGGCGCCGCGAGTGGACGTCTCCCCTTGCCCCTGTGCACTTTTAGCTTGACGATCGATGCTACAGACGTAAAGAATTTCATACACGTTGAAACCTGCGGCGATGCGGTCATCACTATAAGCGATGGGTTTAAGTTTTCCGAAGTTTCATAATACATGTCATACTCAAACAAGAAGTGAAAAGGACTCAAACTCTTCGCTTGTAGCGATGCCTGCATCGTCATATGTTTCAGCGTGTGTGAGGGCCTCAACCGTTTGAGTACAACGCACCGCTTCCGTGCTCTTTAGATTTCATGTCGAAAAAACTCAGCGCATTTGAACGATGCGGACAACTAACGGCGCACTCACAATCTGACGAAACACGCTCAACTTTTCAGATGCATGTACGTCGCATCACTACTCTTTTTGTATATAAGTAATCCAAGTAATATATTTTGTATTTCGTTGTTACCTATTATAAATTTAAATATAATATATATAATAGTATTAACATAGATTAAGAGAAGCGATACCGCGTTGCTTGGCTTTTCTCGACACAAAATAAAAGGAGTGCTATCGCGCCGCTTGGATATTTTCGCATCCCATTCAGAAAGCGCTATTGCGCTGTTCGGCTTTTTTTAACCGTGTTGTTTTGAAAACCTCTGGTACTCAAACGGTTAAGCGGCGTTTGGGAAAGAAACATCGATCCTAGGTACATCCACCTTCGTGCGTCTGTACTCGATTGTTTCGTATGTTTTCAGGCACGTCCCCCGAAGGTACGTCACTACCAGATAATTACAGGAAGTTCTGCTTGCCAAAGCCGGATTCGTTATTTTCCTTCCCTCTTTCGTTTTTTCGCATTGGCCAGCTGCATAGGAAGCTGTTCAAACGAGATAGCCACTCGAGCATTTACAACGCCAACCCTTGGCCCTTATCTTGAGCGCTTCGTGCCTAACGCCTTGTCTCATCCACTGCCCCGTCGCGATCTCCCAATAGGGTTGGAACGTTCGTGGAACAAACGAACGAGCGACCAACGCCTCTCTCCCTCTCTCTTATAACATAACTGGAAACGTCAGGTATTTAAATGAAATATTCGGAACATTGTTGAGGCACAGCGCTGAACCTGGAGCTTTAAAAGTAGTTATTAAGAGTTTTGCAATCTTAACGAAAAAAATATGTAAGGTTACTCGGAATTATTCCCAACAGGTTCATTAATTATTTCGCAAATAAACTAGCTACAGGACTGTGGGCATTAATAAATGAATGTAAACGATATTTAATGTATTATGTTTTAATTTTTGGTGTCGTCTTGGAGGTTGCAGAACGAATGCCAGGAGAAAGGCAGTGTTTAGTCTTAGAATCCCCCCTTTTCAGCGTATCCCTTGCTGTTTATTGTACCTCGAGAGACTAGGAAACACTTTTCCCCAAGAGCTAAGGTAGGGTGGGGATATAAGTCCCGTTTTTTGTATAAATGATTGTAAAATTTGGTAATAACGATCTGGAGATGTCTTTTTTTATTACCGGAAATCGTAACTATCGTGTTTTACTTTTACACTGTTTTTTTATTGATAGTATTATTGATTATTAAATTATAGTATAAAATGTTTATCAACTCAAAATGGTGTAAGTCCTACTACTTTATAACTGGCCTTTCATGTAATATAAAATTAAGTAAGTGAGGAATTCTTTAGTAATGTGGGATTTATAATTAATCAGGGCAAGGTTTTAAGTAAATCTCAAGTTTAATATCAGTTTATAATTAAATACTCGTAACGCTCACAATTCTCTCTCAATACTCTCTGTATTAATTCGTTTGCTCCAACTCGCAATTCTCACACACGACACGAAATCAAAATGGCAAGAGACAAAAAGCAAAAGGCCAGAAACAAAAGGCACCTTTCCCCATGCATCCCTCCCAATACACCAGTCACTCATTCACACACTCACACACACGAACCCCGCGGTCATCGCCTCTAATGTCTCGCTCTCATTCTTATTTACATTCGCACTCTCTTTCACTCGTTCTCTCTGTCACTCACTCTTTCGGTTGTTTATGTCAGAATGACCGACAGCTGATCGGTAGTCCTATATTCACAGCTGATCGATAATCCTACAGTAATTAACAGATATTTATTAAATAAATCCTTTTTCATATACGATTTATTTTTTTCCACTTATTCTCTATATTTTGCAAAATGTCATTCTGTCCTCTATTACCCCTACTGCAATGTATTTAATTATATTTAATGATTTTATACCGGGATGAGTTTTTATTTCATAGTGCAATACTCTAATAAGTAGATTTTAAATGAAGGGACTATGAATCTTCATGATGCAGTAATAAATTTCAATATAGAACTTTTTGCCTCACTGTTACCTCCATAGCTTCTAATATATATACATTGAGAAAAATTATCATCCAGAAATAAATCAAATCATGTATAGATTGCTAAAGAAACATACAATCTCAATACACTTCCATTATTCGCTGTTAAGCAATAATTTCGAGAAATAAGAAAAAACACGAGACATACTTTTTTTACTCTTGGACACAAATAAGCTCGAAATAGTTGTACAAGTGTCGCAATCTCTTCTCGACGCGTTATTCTGTTGTTTTTCGCTGATTAACTAACAACTGACTCTCGTATTTGACAACACTCACTCACATTCTTTCATTCTTCATACACCAATCCTTCGTATCTTTCGCCTGTCGCTCTATCCCATTCGTTCTCATTCATTCGGCGCGCATCTCGTACTCATTCAAACATTCACTCGCTACACAAGTCGTAAAAATGCTTGAAATCGAATGGAAACGGTTCCAATGTTTTCTAATATGTAAGAGAAGGTCGTAAGAGTCAGGATGGTATCCTGAACAAAAATACACTTACGTGATAGTAATTTAGTTTATTAAGGACAATGACCGTATTGGTCTTGGACCGAGCGCGACTGATGATCGATTTAGAATGCGCTCATACCCTGCGTTCAACTTTCAAAAGTGCCCGTTAATAACACTGTGGAACAAATTTGAACATTTTTTTGTCTTGCAATAATCACTAGGCGATTCTTATAGAGTTCCTTACCCTAAATACGAATCCGAAAAACAAATTGTTGGGTCATGTTCAGTTTTCGAGAAAACTGGGTTTTGGTAGAAACGGTCGAATTTGTCAGAGAACCGAGTGTTACGTGAAAACTAAAAACGATAGGCAGTTAAAATTTGTCGTAAAAAATAGAGGAAAGTTATCCAAATATGTAGCTATAAAAACTGTGAATATTGCGTATCAATAAATGCTTATAAATGATGATAAAAGTTTTAAAAAGGAAAGATGCGCGTACTTTGTACGCACTTGTGTTACATATCTAGGAAAAGTGGGTTGGCTAGCACGAATTTGCTATGTACTATTGTATTCTGCAGACATTTCTGAAGAGGAACCCATCCGTGGGAAGCGTGTGAACGGTTCCTCTTTCCGACAAGTTAAGAAAATGTCCGTAAAGAGCGCGTGCACGAAACTTTGGCGCCACACGGCCATCGCTCGCCGGCCACAGCTATTTAGGACCGTGACTACGCGTTGTATAGACCTGAACCCCGGTCACTTCTTATATGTATATATAATGTTTAATTGTTTTATAAATTTTCATAATAGTTATGAGAAAGCTTTTCCCGATCGTACTGTTTTAAATAATTTGATGTACTCGATAAGGACCACAAAGTGGCTATTGTTCCGACACGGTTTATTTGGTTGAGACACAGCCATCGGTGCGTAAAGATTTATAGTATGACCAATTATGATCGCTCATGTCTAAACACAGTATAAGTAAATTTTGGAAGCGTTTTATTGCTAGCTGCATTTCTACATTTGATGTCATAAATGGTCAGAAGGGACGACGTACCCCCTACCTTCACTACAAGTAATATGGGCGTAAGCTAAAACACTGTAATTAGTAACACCCCGATCGTTTAGCCTTCTGATTTGTCACTAAGGACACCGCCCTATATCAGTATTTTTATATATATATAGAGAGACATTGAAACAGACATATAGACAACACAAGTTCATTACTAATCACGCTGTACTCACTGGACAACACACACACTGCAACTTTGTATACACATACGCATTCCTTTCACTCAATATTCAACAAATACAGTCCACTTTCGAACGAGAAAAGGAGAAGCCTTTTTTCATCAACACAACTACATATTTCACACAAGGTTAATTCGGCGTGAGAAAGTGTTACGCCACGTCCACTAATATTGCCTGGACAGCGTGCACGAACAGCTATTACAAAACAAAAATCGTGTTCCACAGTGTAATTCTGAGAATCCGAACGCTGCGTATCGCGTCGGCTCCCGACAAAAGAGTACTGTTGGGTGACCAATCCGCGTTATCTGCAACGTGCTGCGTTGCCCTAGTGATTCAGTCTACGTTACTCTAATGACTCAGTATTTTCGGGCGTCTTCTGCAAAGCCACCTCCGAACCCTGAATCACGACGAGCAGGTTTCATCACTAACGCTTCGTCATCCTCGCCCTTCCGCTTCTATATTTCAGTATATAAGTACCCGAATTCAAGAGATCCTTGGAATTCGAATTCAAACCTCAGTACCGAAACTCTGACAAACTCGTTACTCAGTAAAATTTGTGTTCGCCATGTCTTCATTATCTAAAATATATAGGAATACCCGTGTGCCTTGTTAAAATATATTTACGTCGAAGACAAAAATAAGTGGACAGGTAGTAATAATGATTATTAATGATGTTTAACGAAGATAATCGTATTGTTATATAACTAAATTTTATTGACTACATATTTTCATTGTATATACATTATTCAAGCAACAATGGAAAGTAATATTTACAGTTCTGTATAAATAAATAATGTTTAATGAATAAGGCAACCAGATGCGTGGAGACAAAAGTAAATGAACACATAACACAGTAATTATAAACTATTATTGTTATCATAAATAATTAATGATTAATATTTAGTATTACTGCCCTTTGTTTTTACAACTGCCTTTAAACGTAAGCGCGGCATACCATTTACTAAATTTTCTATATAATTTTTGTTAATTTGTGCAAACAGTGTAGTCGAAGAGTTAAAAACCGCTTTTTTATCATTACGACTATCTAATGGTACTTTAGAATCTAGTACACTCCACAAATTTTCAACACAATTTAAATCCGGGGCTCTGTGCTGGTAATTCGAGTAACTTAATGCCTGAATCTTGCAAAAATTGTTGAGCTTTCTTTGCGGTATGCAAAGTCGTTATCTTGTTGAAATATAAAATTTTCATCTAAGCCTATTTTCAGCACTGATAATTCTAAATTTTCGTTTATTATATTAATATATTTGTCTGCATCCATTATACCATCAATGCACACTAATGTTCCACTCCTATGATATACAAAATATCCCCACCATCAAAGATCTACCTCCAAATGTTACTGTCGGATTAATAAATTGTTTCTTATATGCTTCATTAGGTTTCCTCCACACACGCTTCTGCCCTTTTAATTGCCGTTACTCAAATTTGCTTTCATCGGTTCACATTACTTTTTCCCAAAAAGACATTGGCATATTAATGTATTTTTTTGCAAAAGCAAAACGTTTCTTTCTATTTCTTTCACTAATACTAGGGTTACATTTAGCCCTGCGATTCTGTAATTCAACTTCACGTAGTCCTCGTTTTACAGTTTTCGTCGATACATTCAATTTGAATGATTCCACTAACTTTCGGGATGAAGTCGTTGAATGTCGCCGACGTTCGCGGACAATTCGTCGATCATCGTGTACAGTCGTACATGTTTTCCGTCCACAACGTTTTAAATTACCTACAATACCATGTATTAAAAATTTCTTATTTATTTTGTGAATTGCACTTTTCGATACATAAAAAGTTCTCTTCTATCGTACGATAACTCACTCCTTTGTGGCAGTTCGAAATAATCAGATTTCGAATTTGTAACGAAAGTTCTCTGATTTGTGTCATCCTGATAATATTAGCAGACAATCCTACTGCCACGAAAACATATTTCAAACTGCTAGATGTTTGTTTACAATCTGTGTATCAGTCACAAGCACGCGACGTTAGTTCACATTTCGTGAATTCAAATAACATTGTAACATTTTACGTGTTGACTTACCTTTGTCCCCACGCATTATTCATTAAACATTATTTATTTATTGGAACTGTAAATAATACTTTCAATTATTGCTTGAATAATGATTATGCAATGAAAATACGTAGTTAATAAAATTTAGTTGTATAACAATACAATTATCTTCATTAAACATCATTAATAGTCATTTTTACTACCTGTCCACTTACTTTTGCCCCCAACTGTATATCTTAAAATATTTTCGACTGTCGATCTTTTTACCACTCATCCACTTCTGCTCGTGCGTTCCAATTTTTGAACGTTGCGCATTCCGTCAACTTCCGACGGAAGAATACGCCGTGCTACTGTCAAGTGTCGGCTCTTACAAATACCTGTTGGTGACTGAACCGTGTGGTGCAACGATCGATTGCTAAACAAATAATGATTCTCAACTAGGGACTTCTTACTCGTCGCACTTTTACGGCGCAGACGACTAGCGTTCGAGTTTTCTATCGACTTTCTTACCGATAATACTTGTGTTTGAATTTGTTCAATGTTGTATTATGTCTTGTATTAGTATTTCAGTCGAAGAATATGAATAAAGAGTGTGAAAGAAAGTATCGGAATGTTGAGAAATAAGTATGACTTGAAGATTTAAGAAATTATTAATTAAAATATTATATAAAGGTATGAACGACAGTTGACATATACTAGCAAATTGTGGTTCGGGTAACATGAAACACAACCTTTAAGAATATTATGCTATTGAATCGACCACTTGTGGTCGAGTTTTCTGTCCCTTATAATCTTCTGCCACCAGCTGGCAGATTGTTTCAATGTTCGTGGTCTCTCTGGATTGTTGAAATCGACGAATATGATACCGAATCGTTCACTGAAAAATTAAATGTTAATACTATAATTGTTTCAATTATCAAAAACCTTGTTACATATAATACGGAATATTCCTGTATAATAATATTATATATATATATACAATAATAGAATTGTATGCAAATATATGTTAATGGCATCTGTGCTAGTTGAAAACGAACCTGTATCCTCTTTCCCATTCGAAATTATCCAGAAGCGACCATGCATAGTATCCTCGCACGTTAACGCCATCAATATGCATAGCGAGAAGCATTTCTTTCAAGTAGCTACGATGATAATCGATTCGATCTGTGTCATTAAGGCATCCAGAATCGGAAAAACCATTTTCAGTAATGTATATAGGTGGGTTACCATATTTCAATGACAATTCACGAAGAACGTTTCGAAGTCCTTCAGGTACAACCTAAAGAAAGGTTAAGCTTAATGGTTAACTTATTGTGCTATAATATAGTATATTATATAATACTATGCTATATATTATACTATACTATATTATACAATAATATTAGAAGTAAAAAAGAAGTTTGTCATCCTCATAAAGTCACACAGACAATCATCCTCTTTCAAGCCATGGAATTAAACTTAAATATTTCACTTTTTAAATAATCAAATTAACCATAATGGAACCAATTCAATGATATTCATCAATAACAATATGAAGTAATTTTCTATATATGTATGTCATATTGTTCACGACAATATTTTTGATCGAAAAAATTAAATTCCCATATTATGGCTTTTGGAACAGAATGAAGTAATATCATACATGAATAGCGTATAGTTCATAAATTGCTCAAGTTGAATAAATTAGAAAAGAAAATATTAAATTGTTATTACCTGTTGAAATATAAAACAAGAGAATCAAATAACGAAACCTCTTATAAATATACTACAAAATATAAATAGTGAAACACTATATGGGCTATTTTATTTTCTGTCATAAATTCTGCATGGTCAAAGTGATGTCAAATTATTTAACGCTAGTGTAAATACATAGGTATATCGATCATATCATGTATATATTAATCGCAAACGTGTATGAAAACATTGCATATAGATAAAATGTGTATTAGCGATACTTACTTTCAACCATGAAGATGCTGACGGTTTCCATGACGGATCTATATCAAAAGAAAGACCTTGGTCATTCAGTTGAGAAGGTATTTCGCCACTACATCCAGGTGATACCAATTTCGAAGTATAATGATTCAGCGCCAGGAAGTCCGATGTTTGCCTATAATAAAACAATTCTTATAATGCATGTTAAATCATAGTCTAATAAGAACCATGAACAAACATGTTCTCATAATCTTTCATCGTTAACATTATAACCACCAGGTGGGTAAAAATCACCCATTCTGAAGTTCCTTTTTTACAATTATTGAAAAGACAGAGACATTTTTATGAGAAATTATTAAATTAATTTATCAATGCACATTTTAAAATATAAGTAAATCGACATCTTAGTGAGTACACTGTTCTAATTTTTGTAAGGAATTAAAAATCAATCAATTTGATTGCTCGGTGGTTTTAGCGTTATGCCTCTGAGGACGAATGTCGTCACGTTAGTCACATCAAGATTTCATATCTAGAATACAAATTAGGTACAATTTTTTCTACAATTTAATGCTCGATATATAGCTCTCTCTTTACTACAGATTTTGAATACTTTAACACTAGGTTTACGAAACATGGTAATTTGATACATATCGAATTTTATAAACATTATTTGGTAAATGTTTACGTCGATATTAATTGGTGCTACACGAATATGCGGAAGAAATCCTAATCCTCTATTCTTAAACCTCTTTAGTTTCCTCGATTTAATGAACGAACATCAATTTTTCTGAGAACAATCGAAGAAACTGTAAAATAATTGTTCGTATACCTAGTGTTAACCTTTTGCAGTCCTATGATGAGCTATACTCGGCGTTCAATTTATTCTAATGGTTAAGTAGCTGATGAATTTTTGTTACAATTACTCATAATAGCATAATTATATCATCTATAAATATCATTTCAGTACTCCTTAAACCTTTCGTGCCTGAATATGTATTTTACCTCTAAACCAAATAGAGGGCTAAAAACAGTTTCAAGTGAAATTAAAGCATTTCAGTAAAAGAAATAATATAAGTTCTAATAATAATGATAAGTAGCACTTACGCAAAAATCGCCGTGTGGTACAATTTTTCTTTCTGTGAAAGGCGTTTTCTAGCTGTTGGGCATTTTAAAACGTACGTGATACCTACATATATGTACCATTTTAGACGAAAAGGAAATAAATGATGAAAATACTACATTAAACTATACTTGATCTAAGGAACATTGATTCAAATTCCAGAGTGAAACACTAAAAATTTTTCCGAACGTAAAGCGTTACATCGTAACATTGTGTAATCGTACTTTATATACGCAATCCATTCAGGTTCGAACTCCGGTAACCGTGATTTCGGGTAACCCTGCTCCAAGCTTTTATTCGCCACCATTTTCTTCATCATTTCCGGATAGTCACCTGCCTCCGTGTAGACTGGATTCAAAATCCACCCGACGCTGAATGTGTACGCGATGTCGACTGATTTTGTGTCTGGCGAATTTTTCGGTAAATAACCGTTCGTATTGACCATGAATCCCACCTCACCCTGCTGTGTAGTTTTAAATTCGTTCTGATAGATCCTATAGACTTTCGCGTGAGCTTTCAGAACGTTGTGGACGCACAGGTACTCCCCAATACCGTGCAGCTTTTTTCCGGGCGCGTGTAACCCCTTGGAGTAGCCCATCTCGCAGATAACACAGGGTTCGTTTATCGGGATGAATCGCTTCACCTTCGACCCAAACTCTTTGAACACGACCCTCGCGTAATCGGCAAACCAGTTGACCATTTCCGCATTCGTCCAGCCACCTGCGTCCTCCATAATTTGCGGGTGATCCCAGTGATATATCGTCATCAGCGGCTCGATCCCGTTCGCCAGGAGCTCGTCGATCAGATCATTGTAATATTTGACGCCGTCACGGCTGACCTTGTTCGGGAACCCCGTAGGGAGTATTCGCAACCAGCTCACGGAAAACCTATACGTGGTAAACTGTTGGCGAGAATGAAAGATACAGTAGGTATACGAAATGACCAAAGTATGATAGATACAGCTCGTCTGCCATTTAATGGCTAGGTTGAGAAGTTGTATATATCGGGCTTTTACTTTTCGTCTTATTATTCTGTCAGTCTTTGACTGGAATCACTTATAGTCAAGTTATATAAAAAAGAAAATCGTCAATATTAGAGTAGTATTTATTTTTTAAAACCTTTTTCAAATCGAAGCTCTCATAAGACATAGATGATAAGGCTTACTGTGCACTACATTGGTGGTGAAAAGTGGGTGGTTGGCAATGTATTATGGGGTAACGGCATAATATGGAATAACTCCTAATATGGAATACCAATTACCACGGGAAACATTTAATTGATAATAGAAAACAATCATATTAATAGTTGAGCATCAATTAAGAATGTGTCATTGAATGCGAAGCATTATTGTATCTGGTAGTACGTCAAATTCTCTGAAAGATGAGTTAAATAGTCAAATTTTTTAATATAGATAGATCAAAAAATTTTATTTTTTCATAATTTATCATTGAACATGTTTGTTTTTTACCATTCAAACGTAATTTCCCGTAAATTCATTTTCTTCTTAGATAGTTGTTATTTTTCTATCGAAATACGTGAGTTCCTAATATGGAACACGTTCCAGATTGTATGCGCATTCTTTGTTAATGTTACATATTATTATGTTATATTTTTATTTTATGGTGGCAATTACAAAAATGATAATAATGAAAAAAAATGTATCCAATGCATTGTGTTCGCGAAGAATATATGTAGTGGTCTTCTTAAATTCTTACTCTAACTAATTCTTTATTCTAATTCTTTTATTCATCTTCTTTAAATCCATAAATATTAATTTCTCATGATAAAAATGAGTTTTGTTCATAAATTACCTAGATGTTCCATATTAGGAGTTATTTTTTCAGATCGCTGTGTTTGATTTTATTTACATTTTTTGTAAGTTTTGTAAGGCATGGTTTCTATTTCAAACAGTTCACTCGTTACGACTAGGGCTCTCTCGACCACTGATATAATCGCATCAGGCCGACGTAAACGCGAGATCGGATATGCACGTGTAAACACAGTTTAACGAAGTAGTACCAAAACGTTTTCTGCGATTATTTCGGAAACTAAGAAACAGCGACATTTTTGTCACGGGGAAAAGTTGCTTAGAATTACGTTGCCGGCAACATACCCAAAAATCACACAAATTGGTGAGGAACGTCCTACGCTATTGAATAATTACCGGTATATATAATTTATAATCGAAAACAGCAAATACCATTTAAAGTCGTCTCGGTCTGCCCGAAGGACTTCCAGCTCCCCGAATTTTTCCACTCCGACTCGAACAGTCGGATGTAGACCTATTGTGTAGTCACTTACATTGCTATTATGCCAAATATACAAGGTGGAAAGAAATGATTGTATTTCTCTGTCGTAGCGTGATTCTACACCTTCGGTTTGATGAAAACTGAGGTAAAGAAACTGCCACAAAATTTTGATGTTGAAAAAATGGGTTAAAATTTTGTATTGTGCTGATATATTCTACTCATTGCGAAGGCAAATAGTCTCAAAGAAACTAGGGGTTAAAAAAGAATAATTTCCTTGTAAATCGCTGTTGCATTTTGCGTGAGAATGAAGAAACGCGACATCGATTGTCCTCTTTTGATACATACACCCCGTCCATCAGGAGAATGGGATCGACATTGTTTATGGATCGGGCTGTTGCACAGTACAACTAAACATCGGTTTCTGGACAAAATTCAATAACTTAAAAAGTATAAGTGGTAAAAAAAAATGTTTCAGACAAAAGGTGTGGTATAGAGCTAAGCATATGGTGATTATATTTTTTTACATTATAGGGATACTATAAAGTTTTCTAAATGACAATGAATATGTTGCGTTTCGATTCCAATGTTATATGAATAGAGAAACGTAATTTATTTGCACAAAATTATGTGAAATCAGATCTACATGCTTCGGAGAATATTTCCAATTGTTAATCTGTATAAATATATTTATGAATGAATGCAGGGTAAAAAAATAAATACGTAAACTCGAAATGTCTATAGGCCAATGTTTGAGTGTGCTAAACAGTGGTTATTATTAATTAATTTTTGAAATAATATATTATGTACATTGTGTTGTATTATGTTAAATTATGAAACTTACATAAACCCAATTATACTGTAATATTCAGATTGGAACTTATACGTATCGGTTTTGTAATTTGTTTGAGTTTGCATGGAATGTGTTTTAGAAGTTTCAGTAACCAATTTAGCAAACATTGAAACAATTTTCGTATAATACTCCATAATACTGTGAACGAATTGAGTTTCCTAATGGTTTAACATGAAATCGTAAAATGTGCCAATACAAGAAGTTTCTATTTATGTGTATGAATTTAATAAATAGGTACACAGAAATAAGAAATATAAAAAAATAAAAGATAAAACGATTGAATATCATGAATATAATATAAATTGTAAATGAAATATTTGGAATAAGAAATTCTAGGAGTACAGTAAATCTCTTATTGTATCTTCTTGTTATATAACACATATGATAAAAGACGTAAAGAGTAATTGAGTAAAGAAAATTCAATACTAAGATAAAATGAAATAACAAAGCCATTGATATAAGTACATACGAGAGATTCAGTGCTGATCTAGTGTTAATATTAACACATTGCTAACCAAAAAACGTTTAAACAGTTTCTTCTCTCTCGAAGTCCAGGAGAAAATATTCTTTCAGTAGAATTTTGAAATAAAAGTCAAAATAGAAAGACAAATTCGTTAAAAATTAATTTTCCCCTTAGTATCTGAAACCTTTTGCTGTCATGCATATTTGAATGACAGAAAAAGATATTATGATTGCATTATTAATTGTACAGTCAGCGACGAAAGTATTTCAAGAACATGGTATACACCGCATACTGCTATTTATTAGAACAAGTTGCATTCATGGTATATACATGCAATCAAATTTTAAAAATATTTAACAATATGCAAATAAATTAAGTGTTAAGAGTACTATTGTTGCTGACTGTACATATTTTTACTCGTGTCAGAGTTTATCTATTCATTACATTAGTGTCATTCGTACGTGAATAACGCGACATACAATGTATTAAACTAAATCTAATTTTGATATCTGTCTACGGACTTTGATAATGATAAAATAATGAATACAAAAGTATATTTACCCCTATTTTTTTCAACAAAGCCACATCTTCTTTGTATTTGTAATAGGAATTTGCAGCGACATCGCCCGTATCATTGTTTACGACGCGTCCATCTTTAGCATGGCAGAATCGATCCCAGGTACTTTCTCCTTTATCTATAATATTTTCAAGGTATGGAAACGTCAGAAAAGTTAGTAACACAAGAGCCACGAGATTTGAATTTGAGGGGCCCACCGCTCACGTTCCAAGCTCCCTCTATTTGGTATGCTGCCGTCGCAGCTCCCAGGAGAAAGTTCTTTGGGAACCTTAGATATTCCTCATTCTCCTCCACAAATTTGCCATTTGCAGAACTAGAAAGGACAAGTTTAGAGAAACTTAGGGATTGAATGAGCACCCGTTCCGCTGAATATCGATGTCAGGAAAGTTTGGTATAACCAAGAAATTCTTTCGTGCTCTTTCGTCATTTCAAATTCAGTTACTTGTTTCATAAGATTATTACGCCAATATTCGAATTTTAGAATCCTCTATCTTCTACACCGCACATGAGAAGTTTTAAAATTTACGAAAGTCTATAAGAATTGTTCAATAACGATCGATTGGTCAAACAATTATTCGATAATAATACAGAAAAAGTTTCCTGCCACCCTTTCGCTTAAAATGAACTGAAAGATATCTTTCTATATTTTCCTTTATTTGAATCATTCTGTTAATTAGTTTAGTGGTACACTAGAAACATCTTTCCAAATATTTCGTAAAATATTCTGTGCTTCGTTTTAAGCTTTCGAAGCTATCAATATAAAAGAAAGTGAACGGTGTAATACTTTTATAGAAGGTTGCGTTGTATCAAAACGGTAAATTTAAAAAAAGGAATATTAGCATTTCTGGCAAAAAATGTTCGATCGGAACTGTTAACCTAATCAATGAAAGGGTTATTCGCATTCATATGAAGAACAGAACAGGAAAGGAGAATAAACAATATTTTGAGAATACGTTAACAAAATACTAAAAATCTTTATACTTTAAACAGACGTTATTAAAAAATTTCCTTAAAGTCCAGTGACATACAAATTGAAGTACAATTTTTTAAATCTGTTCTTTGTACAAAAATAAATATATTAATTTGTAAACATTGCATTTCGTTTGATAAATGTAAATGTTCTCTGCGCCCAATGCATGAATAATTAACGAACGTATAATTTCCTTGATTAATTTTTATCTTCAGTAGATAGTGTGCGTACGTATTTTATTTTATTGAAAACAGAAAAAACTTACACGATAAGAAAAATGAGTAGACTTGGTCCCAACGATGTCGCAGCCAGCATGGTTGGTCATAAACTATAAACTAAACGACGAACACATGTACTTGACACATATAATATATATAACTTCGTGTTATCAAATCCGTTGATAATGCAACCAACAAAATATTTGTCTTATCTTTTTCTTATTCGAATCGTAGTTTCAGGTCACAAAATTATTTATTTTTTTGATATCATTTATACAAATTTGCTTCCACAATTCAGATGTTGTCAGTAAACGAACACATACTCGTTTTGTTAAAAAAGGTTGATTATGTCTATTAAAAGTCATAAAGATAGTTAATGATAATTACTTCTGTAGCTCAACTTCCTTCTCCGCCAGACAAATGACAGAATAGAACTTTTTTATAGATTCCTTGGGTAATGATGCCATTACACTAATTTCTCCGTGGCTAAGAATTATAAGAAATTAGATTCGATATAAATAATGTAATTACGAAATAAAATTTCCTAATCTTTTCTGCTCTATCATACAATATTTAATGTGCCAGTAGAAACTTCTTACTGATAAAGTAAGGAAAAAATCTCTATTATCTAAATGAATTTCCAGTTCACACGTCATAAGGAACACAACCTCAATAAATGAAAATGAGGACGAATATTTTTAACACAATGCGAAACTTTAAAGTTTCATAACTTTTGAACCAATTTTCACTTTCAAGAAGTTTATACAACCGTGGATTTTGTTAGTGTGTTATGGTTGAGTTCAGAATACTAAAAAGTACTTGCCACATTACGTTTCTGCGTTAGTAAATTTTTATTTATAAAGTGCCATATTGCGGTTCCGTTACGCGACGGTAAAAAAGAATACGACTCCTTGACCAAATAGTAGCCTTTTTATATATTCGATTGCAGTTCTGCCGGTTGCACCAATCAATGCGCGGTTTCTGCGCTTGCTATTGGTGCGCCACACAGTGGAGTATTTGCCCGATCTGAGCGGCGAAAATTAAAAACAAGTCAAGTTTTTACAACACAGTGTGGGAATGTAATATAATAATATGCAATGATACGGCATATAATAAATTTATTAATCTGAATGTGTGTGTGCGCGCGCGCGCGTGCGTGTGTGTGTGTGTGTTCAAATACCCCACTGCGCGCCGATGCTACCGGTTTTAACTTTGGTTATAAGTGCGTCAAATGCCCTTTTTTGATTTATTCGTCTTGAGATGGCGCACGACGCATTTTTAGTCGTTACATTGTTAGCTGCTACACAGCTAAGCCGTTTGTATTTACAGAAAAACATTCACTGTACGAATATTTGTTACATTGATTGTATATTGTCATGGATATATAATTATGAACAAAACTATTGCACAAACATCGACGATTTTTCGCAAACTAGAAAACCAAACGAGACTGCCATTTATATATATAGGAAATAATTGTTGAAAATGTTAATCTCTACAACATACTCAAAAATCATCCAAATTGCGAAAACGTAGCTTTGCAATACATTTATTCAAAAATTCAATCTATGTTGTTTTCTTCTTTCCTAATATTTAAAAATTTGACATATAATTCAGCTATTTATAAAAAAGGTTTTTAATAGTTCACCAAATACTCGTTCGCAAAGGGTTAAAGGGTGTTCCTCGACGCCATAGAGATATTTTCGCATTTTTGAATAACCATAAGGAATCTTAACACCGAGAAACATATATCCTGGCGGATAATCTCCGCGCAACATTTGGCTTCAAGGTTATATAAGCTAGATAGAAAAAGTCTTTACACAGACGCACGAAAACTTTGTTACCGCGAAGACACTCGTGCCTCAACCACGGTCGCCCTATTTTGTTTCTCTATATCTATATATCTATATCCTGATACGTAACATGTTGTAGTACTATTACTGTCTGTCATACTACGCTGGGAGGCGTGGGTTTACGACAGTTTGCGAAGAAAGTAGATCAGAGGATATCCTTCCTTGATAGATAGGTAGGAAGCATTACATGTCAGGATCGTAACGTGGGTTTTCAAGGAAACAATTCCAGCAGCATGGCAGCGACAGTGATTTGAATGGAATGTGTCGACATAACATGTCATCCGAGTATTTACACATCCCCGACATCGAGTATCAATCAGTTTTACAATTCTTTCGGAGCCTTACAGAGATAAGACTTGGTTTAAAATACTGAACCGAGGATTTCGCCCGTATGTGGAGAATAGAGTGGAAACCTTTAATATGTTTACTGTTCAATAAGCTAAATATACAAAGTATCTCATATTAATACGAAAAAACTATCAAGACGAAAGTATGTATACTGGTCACGGTAGAAAATTTTATAGCGGGAGAATATCAAGAAATTTACAGGATGTCTTACTTAAATGGAAACACCTGAATATTTCTGCCATGTGTAGCGTTAGAAAGAATTTCTGCGGATTGTATTGATTATAAAGTACTGGTGACCTTTTAAAAAGTTCAAATTTTTCAAATTTTTTTTGAAGATTTGTTTTCCGTCTTTTTAAAGGGTGGTTTCACCCCTTCAAAGTGAAATTAGTTACAAAAACAAAATGACAATGTTTTAGGCTCGACTTATGTACAGACAAAGTTTTTTAAGTTTTTAAATTTCTTGGTTCGATACCTTTCCTTGTGAGTAACAAATCCTCAGTAAACACGAGTGGAAATCTCAATGGCGTCCGAGATAAAAATAGGTTTTGCTTGGAAAAAAGTTATCTTATCATATCATCAAAATCAAAAAATTATCTCTAAATTATCTCGAAAGATATCAGTAATATGAATGAATATGTTACATAAAGGTTACAGAGTATGAAATGTTACATACCACGGCGAACGGTATTTGACCATGACATGACCTTGAAACATCCTAGTAAGATCATGTTACAATTTTTAAACAGAACCTTATACTTTGTATTCCATATTTTTGAAGTTGGCATTCAGATTTCATTTCGTTGATTTCCAATTCGACCTAACCAAGACCTAACCACTTCCTCTACCGTGTTTCAGGGCTGATCTAAGATTTTTAGTATGAAGCCTTCATTCTTTACGCCACATAAGTTTGAGTTCATCGAACCCAAAAATATTGTACTTGTCTTCATCTGCAAAAATTACATCGTTCCACTATGTTTCTTCTCTAGTAATGTATTCTTTGGCGAAGAATAATTTTTTCTTTTGGTTAACATCGTTTATTTATGGCTTTTTTCGAGGAATTCTGCCATGGTTTTCACTGTCATTAAGCATTTGACAAACTGTATCGAAATGAACTTTCTTTTCAGTCTTCTCGAATAAATCTGCCGTCAATCTCGGAGAACTTCAACTAGTCTTGTTTCGCTTTTCTAATAATATTAAGTTTATTACCGGCAAGCAACTTTGGCCGACCCTTCTGAGAAAAAGATTCAATTCTATCCTCACTATTATATTTTCGTCCAATGTCCGCTACAGTATTCTTACTCAAATTTAGTAATTTACCGATTTCTCTATATGATTTACTGCACTCGTGATTATAAATAACAAATTGACGTATATCAAACGCCATATTTTAACCTTTACGTGACATTTTCACAACTATCACGTATGATATCAACAAGATTTGAAATAAAACTAATTATACGAGATACTGCTTATATCTTATGTTGACAAACATTACCATCGAGCAACGTATCCGGCTTAACAGGACGGTCAAATGATGCAAAACGTATTAACAAAAAAAGTGTATAAATTATATAAATAAATAGTATGTTCGTAGTATCTAAAATAAGTGTTCTGACTTATTCAAAAACAACGAATTTATTAAATTCACGTGCATCAAAAATTTCTTATGTACCACGATGTCCGAAATTAATGCGTGCCACTGTAAATATTCTTACAGTTTTGTAATAGAAAATGTTCTTCTCCTAACAAAACATAGATAATATTCTTTCTTTATCTAACTATGACGATATTATTAGATGCTGAAAACATCCTGTTTCAAAACTCAAGCGATAATCATCTTGAATTTCTGCAGAAATTGTACTAAGAAATTCTCGAAAGTTTATTACGAAACTTACATTATTAGTTCCCACGTCGGTGGTCGAATGCAGTGTTCTAGCGGATAGTTCCAGGCGGCTTAATTGAAATATAATTAAAAAATATTGCCACAGCCGCCGACCATGTCGGCGTGCTCATTGTCAAAGGTAATTTAGCTCTTTCTTGCGGGCAATAAGATAAAAAAGTTTCCTCCTCTTCCCGGTGCGTTTCGGGTCAACAGAGAAGAGAAGTTCGGTAAATAGAGTCTGGCTGATTGGGTACTACCAACATGCCGGTGAACTCTGGAAACTCGTGACGCAGTCCAAGTTGGCGGGCACAGGCGACTTCTCTCTTTTACGATATCTCCCGATTTACTTCAGCCGTCTTTCTTAAAATCTTTTTAGAAACGATATCCTTAAGGAACGTTAAACAGGATTAACGACTACCAAATTCGCTTTTCGATCTTTTGGGAACAAGTAAAGAAATGAAATTATTTGAAACACAGTAAACAGTTCTTGTTGAAAATGTAATGAACTTTTCTTTATAGAAAAGCTAAATATCGAAAATATTTATGTTATTTTATGTGCATGATTTGAGTTGTAGTCTTTTTATCCAATTAATAATATATGTATACAAAATGTTATTACTGAAATTAACGTGTATTTAATATTGTCATTATTTAAGATTATTTTCAATTAATTATATTTGCATTGCGCACTACTTTATCTTAGTAAAGTAGACTTTAACATATAAACTACCAATAGCATTTTTCAAAAATTTGTATATAACTCTATAGATTTTCATATGACGAATTAAAATATCTTTTTTAATGTTCAATGTGTAAACTTCTGTATCATGTAAAATAGTAATAAAAATATCAAATAAAAAAAGGTGATAGCGTTAAATGCGCGAGCTTCAAATATGGATACTCATAAAAAAATGGCTATTTATTTGAAGAATTTAAATATACTTATATTTTCAAAATATATGGATATATTGTTAATTCTCATTTTTTATGATATAGTAAATTATAATTGAATTACAGACTTTTATGAATGTATGGTATGCACGATTCCATAAAATGTTGCAAGGTACGAATTTTAATGAAACTTTCACACATTTTTCATTTTATTTATGATCAGGTAAATTATTTCATGAAAAATAATTTATAAAAATTATAATCACTAATTCTTTAAAAAAAGATGCGAATAATTTTAATTTGTATAAAAATGTATAATTTGATTTTAATTTTATTAAATTACAAATTTCTGTTTAAATTCCTTTCTATTTTATTCGTTAAAATGCAAATGCCATTTAAGACTGTCCTGCATAAATAAATCTACCGTCTCAGTGTCTTCAGCTCCTTTAGTACATTGTTCTTCTTAAACCAGATTACTTCAGTTTTTATTCCGGCTAAGCTCCGTAGAATTTTTCCGTGAAAGTTTTACGCGTGCCACGAAACGATAACGAGGGTCGAAGTTACGAGAATTGAACGTAATAAAGCGCTACTTGGACAAACGATCGGACTCGAAGATAGGTTTAAGCTGGGCTTTATTTCCCAATTATCGTGCAAAATTACCCTTATCGTGGCGACCGTGTTCGTATTGTCCACTAAATACATGTATACAATGTTTCGTCGTTAAATTTATCCGGAGAATACGCATGAGATAATGAGTCTTATATAACCGTAAATTCCATGAGAATGTAACTTCGGTTATGTTGTTTAACCTTGTTAAAATTTGCTCGCTCACCCGCTGAAATAATCGACGTGAAATATGATTATTGAATGAATATTTATGGAAAAGAATCGTGTGAAATAGGAGCGAAATTTTAGAAGTGTCGCTGTAACATTACTACCACGACAAAAGTATGTAAATACCGCAAACTTTGGAATATATAAAGCTTCTTAGCAGGCGGTTCTCACAGAATTACTGCTTCTCGCAGAATTCCTAAGCCGTCACATTTTCAAGAGAAGAAAATTATTAATGCACTGCTACCTTATTTCGAAGTTGGAAAACGCCAACTTTCCAGCGTAGCTTACATTTTAAAATTCAATTCTTTGTTAAAATATATATCTCGGGATCTTTTTGTCTGTTCTGGACTCGGAAGGTTTCGAAAAATTATATAGAAACTGGTAACGAATCGTAACCAGTGATGGTTTGTAAATCACGTGTAGCCAATAGTTTTCACTATAAATATACTTACTTGCCATTTTGCTGAACTCACAACTCGACGGTTAATTGCGGAACTTCCGTGCCCTAGCGGGAGAAATTCACGATAATGAAAAATTCATTAGCTCCCCTTTCTTCTATCTCATACATTTCCTTCATAGATTCTTGTCGTTCCGCTTATTTTCATTTCCCGAGCTAAGATTTTTACGTTCAATATCTTCACTCTATTTTCCCGTCTTCTTCCTATTCCCCATTATTCCCTCTTTCGTTTCAAATTTACTAGAATTTATATTATTAACTTCTCACTGAAATTTTCTGTGTCTCACTGATCTTCGTATGAGCTTCGTTTTAATTTAAGTAAGAAATAATTATTTTTGATTAAAAAGTATTGTGTATCTAGATATAAATGCGTTATGGGTATAGCGTTTGCTTCCTGTCTTACATTTTCGTTGCAACTTTATAAAAAAATATTTATGAATTCTTTTTTGTATGATATTTTAGTTTTATATTCTTTTCAAAGATTCTTTACTCAATTAGCATGTTTCTTGTAAATGATATCTGCAGACCCTGACAAAAAGATTAGAGCCAACATTGATGTGATTTCTGAGAAAATCAGCAATGAATCTGAAATTTGATCCTTGTCTGGTCGTTTCCTCATATTAATTTTGTATAATACAAGTTTAATTTCAGTGCTTAACTCTTAGTCTTGACACTACGACGAAGAAATTATTATTAAATTACCTTTTGTGTGTGGACTTCCAACACTACGATTACCGTAGGAAATGTGGTATAAAAACTATGATGTTCCTAATTCTTTGATCAGAGGTTATAATTATACGAAGAAACAAAACAGGAAAAATTAGGAACATGTAAATTTCTCAAATAAAAATGTATCGTCGATAAATGAGAAGGTGGTTAATCGTAAGTAAAAAATTTTAAACATATTAAATAAACAATGGCGTTAAAAAAATGAACACTTGATTCGAACGAGAAAAGCTTCAGAAATGTAGTAAGGTTAACGATAATTTAGCTCTCATGAGATAGTTACAAAAAAATCAGAGGATTAATTCTTCAATTTAAACTACATGTCATAAAATATACAGCACAAATGCACTATCTTACGGCGAACAAGTATAATTGTACATTGTTTTCTTTTTTCACTATTCTCTTCACTTTTATATATTAAATAAAACACATCATAACCTCTAACACAAAATATCGAAATCACGAAGTATTAACCGTCGAACACATTACATCTATCAGACACTGTCACTACTATTTTTTTCCATCTGCTCGGGGCAAGGAGCTTGATCTCCTCACTACTAATACTTCCTTAACATCTTTATTGGCGCATGTTAATAGCACGCTGTTTCTGAGCGATACCTACGTATTTTTCCATGATGATACTATATCTAACAGACACATTGCATTTCTTATATTTTATCGGAACTACCATATGTAAAAAATTATTAACTTTAATTGATATTTTTTAATCTTATCTTTACAATTAAAATTGAGTCAGAAGAATATTATCTTACTAACAGACACTATGAAATTATTTAGAACTTACTAGAAATAAACGATAATATAGTAGATGAAGATTTATTTGAACCTTCTAGTGATGAATATAAATATGTACCATACTTTCGTGGAATATTTTCGTTTAACAATAAATTTGAAACAATCAGATTTATTGTTAGGTGCACACGATTTTAAAAACAAAATGCTCGTGAAATATGAGTTTATTGTGGTTGGTTTATTACAATCAAATATATTTTAATATTAGTATAGCGAGTGTATAAAAACTAATATGTTATAGTAATAAATTTACAATAAACAAGTTACATAACCTACTCCGGATAAATCTTACTCCTATAATATTTCAGTGACGTCCGTTATTTTCAATATTGTAACATATTATTGAAATTAATGCAAACACTCAATATCTGTATTCCATACACCAGTGTTTTCAGTTAGTATGTTTACGTTTATTCACTGTTTTGTATTAATCAAGCAGCCAAATTAATTAATGAAACAAAAGTGGAATTTATAAATATAGAAAGCTTATCTGTAGTAATAACGTTTAAAACCACAGTATAATTTTAATTATACATTATAATTAGGGATTTATTTATTAATTAGAAATAATTAGTAATCATGAATTATGGTGTATGTAATGGTAAATTATAAGTATTAACCCTTTGAGGACGAACATCGACGTTTCGGCGCGATGAAATGTTCATATTTGGAAGACTAAGTCGCAGACAATTGATTTAATTACTCAAACAGCAGCAGATCAGCACGTAGTTCCCTTTGTTCTATTAATTAAGCAATTGATATATCATTTAGCTTTACCTGTTGGAAGTTTTCTATGTTTCACAGAATCTTCGTCCGCAAAGGGTTTATCTTAGTTATAAACAAGTAAATATAAATTATTATTACATATAGATTAATTCGTTTTGCTGATGAATTTTGACTGCTCGGTCGACACTATAATACATCACACTACTACTTGTATTAAACTATAATTCTTTTTCTAATTTGTCTCACTAAAATATTGAAAACGAACGCCAGTGAACATACATCTAAACGTCTAGTACATTATTTTTCTTAACGATCTTCAAGTACTGAATTTAATTTAACGGTCTACACTCGCTATAAAAATTCTATCGTATCTTAAGACTGAGACATGAAATTTGTACATAAATTCTTCATCTTAGGAGCAAGGAAAAAGTCACGTTCGTACCATAAACATCCGTCCCAATTTTCTACCCTATCCTCCACTAAAACCTAATCAGTAGATGGCGAATTTTATGCATTTCTAGTATATATGTATCACTTACTGATACTTAAACTTAGTTTGTAAATTAAACTCCTCAAGATTTAACGTACATTATTAAAGCTTAAGCTGGTAAGGGGAATAATGATTGTACCTATTTCTCAGACCATTTATTTTCATTTTTATTTATTTATCTAGGTAATTAATATTACTTAGCAAGAAGATTCTTGTAGTTAATTACACTACAATAGTCACAGAAACGTAAATTAAATTATAATTATCATTTATCTTTATTCCGCATGGAAATTCGAGGTAAACAAATCATCTGAGTAACAGATTATAATATTATATTAGCCATATTACTAACTAGAACACTTAAAGACTAAACCAAATAACAAACAAAATTACATATTTGCATTAAAATCATCTAAAATCCTAAAGAAAATAGAATAATAAAATATTTTCTTAATTCTTCAAAGTAGAAAACTACAGTCAAAACTACAGAATATCTACTAAAAGATACTCTGCAAAACAGAAAGTGTGTTTCAAAATGCATTAAGTGGAATACGTACAAATAAAAACAAAGTATTTTACATTTCCACATAGTGAAGCCTTCCAATTATTAAGGATTAATCCCCAAAGTGTAATAATCTCAGAAAGTATAAGTGCTCTCCAATAATCTCATGCAATTAAATGGTGGATCCTCTATTACCACAAAGATGAATATAAATATTTAATACGTAATCTACCACGAAAGTTTTGAATGTTTTGCATAGTCTTAGTTATTCTTTCATACAAAAAATAAATGACGTTAGAAACAATTATTAATAATTTGATATCGCAGTTCATACGATACACTATTGTCTAATTACGTTATTAAATATTTTGATTCGATACCAGTTTTCTTGTTGTAATTGTTTTCAAGCAATTTAGAAGCTCTGGTTATTATTCGCAGTATTCCTTTGTGTGCGTTATTAAGGTACTACGAGGCTGCGATAGAAACTAAAAGAATGTCAATTCACAATGCTCATATTGTTGATCAATCAACTGAACACTGTGCTTAATGCTTTTAATCCCGTATAGACCGATTTTGTTTCGTGACTATGAAAAGGTTCATGTAGTATGAAATTAATAAATACCAACCTGTAAGCACATATTAATAATGTATTCAATAATTTTAATAATTTTATTAAAATGAATGAATACTGTAACTCTGAAGTTACAATGACGTCGAAAGTTTACGCCTAAGTGTATAGAAGTTTAAGATAATTAATTATTTCACTCCACTCCCCACCTTGCAATAAATACTTGAAAAAATAGCAAGATGCCAATATATTCGTACGAGATTTTAAAGTCACACGTACTTACCTATAGAGAGATGAAACAAAAGTACAGTGAAACTCGCACGTCTTAACCGAGCTATGCCCAGGCAAAAGTGTATAGCGGTAAGCGGAATCGTGCACTTGCGACGCTCGGCGCAGTGGTTCTGACAACAGTAACGCCTCGGTTTCGACACGTCCTTATTATTGACCGAGTCACGCAACAATGTTTCAGCGTCCAGTGTGGCGGCGGCTTTTGTTTTTACCAAATCCCAGGGACACGGAGGCTCAGCTACTATGTTTCCTGGAAGAATCGAGGTAGAGCGTGCTACCGATTCCCCTTGCCAATACCCTCAATGGCGCATGGCAATTACGGTCTGGGAATTGGCAATCCCAAGATACTCGAGCTGAACCAATCGAGCCCTGGTACGGACGAAATAAATAGATATGGGAAATGCTAGTTATTTTTGTATAAGAAATTAAACAGGTTCCATCGATAGACCTGTAATAATTGGTACTACAGGGTCCTGATACATAATGACCGTGCCGGATATTGACGTTGGTACGTTGCTACGTAGTGGCAATGATTGAAAGCCCGCATAATGGGGTAGGGACCACTCGAGGATCCCGGCGCGTGAGCAACGTTCCACCTGCTCCGATACTAGCCTGGACAGTTAGTGGAACTTTCGAAAGTGAACTCTGCGCTACTAACAGTCGACCTCTATGGGACTCCTAGATCCCCGGGAGGAAACGCTGGTGAGGCTTCGGTCTCGGCTGATTGGGCCTCATCCCAATCCCACGCCCATAAGGGCTCTCCGAGGTTGACCTTCATTACAGGATCTCGAAGGGAAATCCGCGGACTTCACTCCCCTTGCTTCTATGCACTTTTAGCTTGCTGTAGATTGGCTAAGACGTCAAAGCGTACTGTAATGTATTTCCTTGTTTCACTCTTATCGCCACTGTTATCGAGTACAGTTTTGCTAAAAACGTACTCTTAGTTCGGGGGCAGACAAGCATTAAAATGACTGGCATTACAATGTCCGTTGCAACGTGCATCATAGCATTACATTGTTTTATACAAAGTCGTAAATTTAGTTAATTTTATTTCGGCGCATTCATGCTAGAACGTAGCTGTAGAAACGAGCGTTTTTGGCACAGTAACGCACATTCTGCATTGTAGACAAACGAATGTACATATTATGGCACACAAGTATTGCGTATTAGCTCCTTCGCTATATTGAAGACATTAGTTTCTGTGCCAACTAACGCAAGAAGGACAAAGCTCGTATGCTGTGATCATCTACAAAACGTCCGTGCAAAACGACGTCCGTCATAACACATGTAATTTTAACGCTAACGGAAGCGGCGACGACCGGAAATCGCGACGAAGAAAGCGCCCGACGCGGTGCGTCGAAGAGCGCGTTTTCGCAGGCTTTCCATTCTTTGTCCGAAATCGGAGTTTGGTTTGAGTCAAGGATGTGCGTCGGAGGGTGGACAGCAGCCTCATGTTACTACGAAAGGGCGGAAATGCGGAGGCGGTAGAAGGGAGCGGGAATCTGTAGGACGTAGCTACCCCCTTTATCAAAGGCCTTGGCACTTTGCCACGTCGCACCGCATAATGAAGCAGCACGTTGGGCTTCGGTTATAGCGGCGCCGGGGCTTGTGTTTTGCCTTCCCTAGAATGGTTTATTGTGTCGCGAACCCGCCACCCTCTACACCCACCCTCACGGAATCTCCTCGACGTCCGCGATATTCACATCGGCATTCGTTGGCTCGGTGCTCACGAGGCACGCTAAACAAAGGAAGCACGTGTAGACGGTAATAGGTGTTATTACGCAGTGCTGACAACGTGTGCCCGTCGCGAGCATTCTGATTGAACGTATCGCGAGAATGTTAATGGCCCGACGGTAATTTGTGCCAGTGAAACGGGAGATGTTCTTCTGCTATTGTCACATTGTGTCTTATCCTTTGTTGGCATTGGAGAGGCTTAATCTTTGAAGGTTATGTTTTTGCAGTTTTGTTACTAATGCTCGCTGGAAACGGTTTTTATTAGGTGATCCGTGGATGACAACATGCAATAGCTTTTGTGTAAAAACCATGATAATTGATTGTTTTATAGATGATACTAAATAAATATTGTGTTTGAAAATGAATTGTCTATTTATTACGTCTGTAGCTGAAAAATTAAGCTAAGTTCATGGTGGACTATGTTTATAATTAAGTGCAGAAGAAGTACGCTTAAGTCTTAAGTGGATATAGAGATCTATCGTTGATAATGAAATTCCAACGATGTTGTTATTAGCATAGTCGAATGTACATCTTTAAATTAAAAAGCTCTTCTGAGTTACTAATTTGA